CCCGTCCTCGCTCCCTATACCACGTTACCGAACACCTCGCGCGAGGAATCGAGTACCACGAGTCACAAACCCGCACAACTGCGGTACTGGGCTGAGCTGACAAGCGGCGGTATCGCGGGCTTCTTTTCACAAACTGTGTCGTATCCTTTGGAAGTGATACGGCGGCGCATGCAAGTTGGTGGTGTGGTTGGCGATGGGCACCGGCTTAGCATACCGGAGGTTACGAGGAGGATATACATGGAGAGGGGTTACAAAGGGTTCTTTGTGGGATTGACGATTGGCTATGTCAAGGTCGTTCCCATGGCTGCCGTTAGCTTCTATGCGTACGAGCGGGGGAAGTACTATCTGGGTATATAAGAAGAGAGTTCTTTATGGGCACAAAAGATGACAAAAGAGATCGTTGCACGAGCAAAGAAGCGACCCCTTAGCGGATATTGCGTGAGCTTGGTGAAGGTTAGAGACCTGTGACACAGGACTGTCATAGCAATGTCTTATCAAACCTATTAGCATTCACCACGTCTGTTACAGTAGTAGCGCGAGAGTGTCAATAACAGAGATGCAGGAACTCGTCAGCGCAGTCCATGTAAGCCGGCAAAAAGGATGGGCAAAAAGAAGGTCAAAAACATACAACAGCCTGGATTCGCTTCTGGTCACCCACGAAGCTACTAATAGGCCGATATCTTGCTTAAGTACAGCTGAGCGAACGGGAAGCGCTGTGTCTCAAGATTCTATGGTCGTATGTGCAAATTTGACAAAGTTTAGACACCATAATCTTGGTTAGAATCAAGCAGTGCACGATCATGCCTATCCCGCATGGATTAAGGCAACCCTGCACTAGAACACCGGCAAGTCACTGTGTACGATAAGCAAGTGTAGAGGATAGTATATACTGGCACATATAGTAGGTTGTACGACACGCGGATCTTCACTCTAAACTACATACATTCACATCATAGCTGGGCCATGACCTGCTGGCCATCATCCCATGAAGGAGGAATCCCAAGCACAGCCATGACCCTCGCAGTATTGCAAAATGGCTTCTGCGCACTCTCCTCGCACCTGTGCTTGTAATCCTCAGCGAGTGCACTGAGATTCGTATCCTGGAGTCTCTCAATCCGTTCAGCGGTGGTGCGGAACGGTTGAGGCAGTGGAGGAAACGAAGCGGCAATGAGGGGCTGGCTGTATTCGACACAAAGCGACTCCAGAACAAGAGGCGTGATGTGAGCAGCTGAACCCAACACACGAGGCATACCGTGTCCCGCGAATCCGGCTGCAATGAAATGGCCCGGCCGCTGTGGTACCATACCAACAAACGGAAATGCGTCTGCAGATTCGGTTTGCACTATTTAGTCAGCGGAATGTACTTCAAGTTCACTGGTATGACATATCTTACTTCCAGTCCAGGAGCCGCCTTCGTTCACGTCCTTGCTGAGTCCCGCGGGCACTTCATCCGGCGAGCCTGCGACGTCTGAGGCACCCCAAGATTCGTAGAATGCAGCTGCTCCGGCAATCTGCTGATCCTCTTTATCGTTGGGAAAGCAATCTCCTGGCTTGTGGACAAGAAGCTGCCTTGCTCCTCCAATGATGATAGTGTTGTAAGGTGGAGGGAGCTGGAGGTGATAGTTCTGTCTTCGTCAGCGGGCCGTCGATTGTGAAGAGAGCATCTGTAAGCCTTACATTGACCATTGAGTCCCAATGCTGGGCACCAGTATGCTTTATGAATCCCGGGGGCGCTTTAATCGCGGCAATGGCCCCTCTGTCGGGCAATATGAGATTACTGAACTCAGGAAGAAGATGAGAAGCCCATCTGTTTGTCGTGTGGACAACTGTTTTGGCACGAATGCTGCCGCGCTCAGTCTTGACTGTGATCCAGCCCTCGGCGTCTCGCGCTGAGACATCCGTGACTGGTGTATGAGCTTGCAGATTGAGATTGCCTTTCTGCAGAACGATGCGCAAAAGCGCGTGCACCAATTTGTATGGCCATCTGAGACGATGTTAGTAGGTTTGCGTGGGAGCAGTACAGTCGAGAAGAACCGACATTTGCCCTGCAGGATGCACCACTGCAGCCAGAGCACCCTTCATCTGCGTAAACTCCTCCGCCGCGTGTGCGTCTTCGATCACTCTGCATACTTTGACGATCTTGTGATCGTCGCCATGATCCCTCCGCATGGCGTCAAGTGCGCCCTTGAGTCTCGTCCAGGCTTCATCGGTCATGGCAGCATCGAAAGTTTCTCCGAACTTGAGACAGACCTCTTCCGCGATGTTTTCTTCCTCAGTTAGATCCCTGAATGCCGGCAAATGAGCCATCTCATGTTCGATAAGCTCCATGGCACCATGGGGGCCAAATCGCTTCGACCATTTCACATAGCGGGAATACGCATGTGGCCTCAATTGTCCTCCTGTTTGTTGTTAGGTATTTGTCCAAGGCGCGTGATGCAAGTGCCATTACCATTGCGTCCGGTGGCACCTCCGCAAATGTCACGAGCTTCTAGGAGAGTCACATGAGGCTGCCTGGAAGCATTCTCCGTGTACTAATTATACGTTAGACTTAATGAGCGGACAACTCATTGTGTTGTGGTCACGAACTTTGTTGATCCAGTAAGCTGTCGATGCGCCGGCATAACCACCGCCGATTATTGCCACATCGGTCTCCTCTGGTAACGCCTCGCTGGAGCGGAAGTTGCGCAACGGCGATTTCGCAGCCTCGATCCAATAGGATTTGGTGGGGTTGGCAGTAGGTAAAACCATGTCGAGAATTTGAGAATGACTGACTACTTTCTACAGGCGGACAGAGAGCATGTTTCGCAAGGCAAGCCACATAGTACACGCTTTCATACCTGTGCTCCATCACCGCTATTTCGCAAATCGACCGGGTACCGTAATTAGCCCGGTCATCGAGCTTACAACTTCGATCTAGAAAGTTCGAGCTCTAGAGACAATGACACCGGTCCGGAATCTGATGAAACGTTGCTCATCGTTATCGTACCTAGGTACCTGTGTGTCAGTGGCAGCCCTGGAGAACCGGGTAAGCGAACCGGTCGCGATCCGGTCGCGATCGATAACTACCTGGTCCGAGCGCTGCAGCAGTCACCTCGACCGGGCCGGCCTTCTACTAGCCACTGATACCGGTACTCAGTGTAGCAAGACATGAGAATAATGGGCATCATGTAGGGGCCTGTTCTCCACGTGTCTTTTACTCCTTATGCCAAGCCGACATATCTAGCATCAATCTCTGTCGAGCTCCTCGATTTTGGTCATCACACACCACACCGACAGTCAAAATGACACAGCCTCTCAAGCACGTCGTGTTCGACGTCGTCGGCACCTGCGTATCGTTCGACGCCTACTACGAACGCATAGACTCAGTCTTGGGTGCAAAACTTCGCGAGCACCACATAACCGCGCAACACTTCGGGTACACCTGGCAGACAGCTGCTGAGCTGGAATTCACATTCTTGTCCATCTCCGAAAGCTACAAGCCTTACAAGGATATTCTCCGAGGACTATTCTACCGTACCCTTTGCCTTTGTGGCGTCTCCGATCCTCGGGCTGTAGCTACTGAAGAGGAGCGGGAACAGTGCATCGAAGGCTATTCCGCTTTACAGCTGCGACCTGGCTGTCGGGAGACGTTCCAGTTGCTGCGCGACAACGGCTTTACCGTCTGGTGCTTCACCACCGGGGATGTGCAACGAGTCAGAGGCTATTTCGAGCGCGCCGGTGTAGACATGCCGCTGGAGAATTTCGTCAGTTGTGACAACTTAGGCGTGGCTAAACCCGCTCTCCGCGCCTATGAGTCTGTGTGGAATCGATTCGGAGGAAACGATGTGAAATGGTTCGCTGCCGCGCACATGTGGGATGTCGCAGCGGCCACAAAAGTCGGGTTTCGTGGAGCATGGAGCTCGGTGTACGAGAAAGAAGCTTGTCTCGACGTTTTTAGTGACGTGAAATTAGAGGTGGTAGCTGGAGGTCTCATGGAGATGGCGCAGCAGATTGTAGAGAAGTCTCAATGACATTAGTACTACTGCTGCGTCTATTCCGGCACGTAATGACATTAGTAAAGAATGTTCTTTCCGCATGCTCTTTCCCCGCTCCCAGCATTTTGCCCGAGGTTCGCCATTATCTTTTGTGAGGATGCGGGTATCGCCGTCTGTGATAAGCCGGGCTTACTGCTAACCGATAACGGACAAGCTTTGTGCGGAGCGTTCCTGCAGGAGGCTGGACGGCTTCAACGTCGCTGCATTGCGCGTCATTCGGCTGTCTTATCGCTCGCGCTTCAGTGAGGGGGCGTCGTTGACAGCTGTGAACTCACGACGTATGCTGAAAACCCTTCCGCCAACTCAATTCCTTCAGCTCATACCTAGTCAGCTCGAGCTATGGACGTCGAGCCTCCAAGACCCACCAAGAAGCGTCACCTAGCGGCAGAAGAGCGACAACGAGCAGTTCGCGCGTAAGACCCACCACTGTCTCGCCGAAGAACGCGAGGTAGAGTCTTGGCTGACAAGCATCGCATAGGTGTGATGAGTGTCGCCGTCTCAAAGAGAAATGTGAGGATGGGACACCTTGTAGACGCTGCCGCCATCTGCGCCGACCGTGTAGATACAATGTTGCACCTGCTGCAGTGGACAAGCGAGGACCGGGCCTTCCCGCCTCGCCCAATGAGCTGATGGACCGCATGCGATGCATGGAATTCATAATCAAACACCATTTCCCCAACCTCGCCCTGGATATCGTCTCTCTACAACGCACGTGCGATTCCCTGTCTTCGCCCACTCCACCACGCGACCAGAATGCGACCGTACCCGAGTCTATCGAGCTGTCGGCGAATGCCCAAGTGTCTGACAGCCCTGATATCGGAGACGAGGATTGTACCATTGACCGCGTAGATGGCACGACAGTCCGTATGTGCTTCGTAAACCCCCTCGTAATTCCTCAGGCACACTGACGAGAGCTTTTGTCGCTGTGCAGATTACTCAGGCGAGTTCTCTCATTGGAACTTTTCCATGCACATCAAACGCAATATAGACGATCTTATGGCCAAAGCCAATGTGCAGGTACGTACTGCTAGCCTAGTCTATTCCTGTTTACTCACTATCTCTGTCAGAATTCCGAAAACATAACGCGGGTACCAGATTTCATTCGCGTCGGCGAGGCAGATCCAGCCTCGACTTCCATCTCGGACGTTCTTGCTGTTGTGCCACCCCGTCCGGTTGCCACATTCTTGACCAATGTCTTCTTCAAACATGCCACCAGCGTCTACTACTACGTAGACCGACGTTGGTTTGACGACATCCTAGATATCATATACACCAAGCCCGTCTCACTACGCTCCAAGGATGTTACTGCAATATGTGTAGTACTGATGGTGCTGGCAGTCGGAACCCAATACGTCCATTTAGAATCGCCCGATCGCCACAATAATTGCAGTACTCGTGTTGCAACGGACTCTGAAGTTCAGAGTAGTTGGGAGCTCGAGATTGGATCCGGATTTTACCGTCAAGTAGCAAAGCTGCTTTCGGAAGTCATTCACGCTGGCTCGCTGCTCAGTGTCCAGGCACTTCTACTTCTCGGCCTATATTCCTTACCTATCGATGCATCTGGGCTGAGTTACATCTATCTAAACTTGGCTATCAAGGTGGCCATACAAAACGGGATGCACCGAAAGGTCTCGCGCAACGTTCTCGATGCGAGAACAAAAGAAATCAGGCGTCGCATTTGGTGGACAGCCTACTGCATGGAAAGGTTTGCTGGCCCTTGACTCTTCGATACCACCTCGTCCTCTTGCTCACAAGTCTGATCTACTAGAAAAATTGGTATATACCACGGCCGCCCGATATCCATCGTACGATCCGATATCGATGCAGATCTGCCTCAGAGGTCTGAATCGCACCTCATGAATGATGACCATTTCGCTCCTCAAGGTCTCCTGGATTCAATCGAGCTCACAAGGCAAGCTGAAGCATTCCACCACGAAATGTAAGTCCAGACCAAGACTTTCTTGACACACGGAGATAGAAGACAATCAACTGACTATGTATTGCTAGATCGTGTCTCCGCACATGTGCGAACGCTGAAGTCGGGGTAATCTTGGACCGTATCAAGCGCATGAAGGCGGATCTGGGAGGGCCCTGGTCGCCTCCTCGCGGGGGTGTATTATCGCCTCCTGCGAACCACGAAGCAGAGTTACCAAAATCCCGCGCATTGATTCATTCTCGACTAGAGTGCTGCCTAGTGCACATGTTTATCGGACGACCCTTCATCCTCGCGCACCGTCACGCGCGGACCAGTGTACATTCCAAGGACGCCAATGCCGCATCCGCATCCCCAGAAGTACGCCGGAGGAAAGCATCCGAGTCTCACTCACAGTGGGACTTCTTAGTCCAGGACTGCGTTGCGGCTGCGAAGGAAGTTATCAGCACATGTCAGATCATGCAGACGGGCGACATGGGCCTTGCAAAGTCGTCATATGCCGAGTATAGTTCCTGCCGTGCATCACTGCTGGTCTTGATCGCATATAGCATATGTTACCGTACAAACGAGTTCGCAAACACCCTACAAGTAGGTCTACAAGCGATCAGAGAAATGGCTTCGGCGGGCGATTCCGCGCGTTCAGAAGTGTCGCTCCTGGAGACACTGGAAGCTGCGCTGCATCGACTCCACGTTTTCAATCCATTGCCCAATCAACCTGCGGTCACGGAAGCAAACGATGCAGCTGAAGAGGGCTACAACGGTCTTCTTAACTGGTATAAGAAAGCAGAAAAGTCCACAGTCCCTCGTTTTGGGCCTTCAGCATCCGGACATGCAAATGTACAGGCAGCAACGGCGCAAGGCCCAAGGATAACACCAAACAGAACCGATGCAACAGTGGATACCATGCCAAGCTATGTACCCCTTGATGGCTATCCGTTCGATTTCGATCTACTCAACTCGGATGGAAGCGAGGCATTCTTCACCTCGGACTTTGGTGACCATGGTAACGCAGAGAGGGAGTTCTTTGAGAGCCTTTCATGGTTACCGAAGTGACGTTCTGCACAGGCTAGAATCGCCAATGTATGAGCGATGAAGCGCATCAATTTAACTCTTTTCGCCAACAGAGTGCGTGTAAAAGTTGGTGGATGAATCATCGCATTGCAAAGGTGGACAATTCAGGTCCCAACTCGTCTTATCTCATGGTCACAACCGTGCTTGAGCAGGCTGGCTTTCCGCTATCTGTTGCCACATCTTGAGAGACACATGTTCTTTCTGCTGGTACCATCTACTCCTGGTGATGCGGTACGGCACAGGAAGATCCACATCTTCTGCATCGCCCGTGATGACCATGGAAGCAATGGCTTTTGCACAGAAGAAGATCTGCGGCATACCGTGCCCGCTGAACCCTGCGCACATATACTGGCCGGGTTTTCCGCAAACTGACCCAACATACGGGAACCCGTCGTTGGAATAGCCCATTACTAACATGGAAGAAGATGAGTCAGTTCTGGAACATTGTGAGCGCTGGTGCGGACATGACACTTACTGCCGGTCCAGAGGTCTTCGGTATGGGCACCGCTGTTCTCCCACCCGCGGAAATGCCGTTGCATGTAACCGTCAAAGTAATGCCGCGCGCCATCCATCAGTCTGCTGTCGTCGGATACATCGAACCATTCGTCCAAGTCTTTGTAGTAGTCGCGCCTTCCGCCCCCGACAATGATACTACCGTCCGGCCGAGGAATCATGTAGTCGTACTCATAGTCGGAAAACCGCATCATATAGCTATCAGTCATTCTTGGTGCATTCTCGCCCGCCAAGCGCGCTACTATGCCTCTTACTGGGACGACCTTGTCCTTCATCTCCGGTACGAGGGCAGACGTGTAACCGTTCGTAGCATAAACGATAGTGTTGGTCTTGACGGAGCCGCGCGGTGTATTCACAACCCAACGATGATCTTCTTTGCCTTCATCGGCTGCCGAGATGGATGTTACTGAGGTATGTGTTTGCAAGTTGACACCCATAGATACCGCTTTCTCTAGCAAGTGCGCCACAAGTCGGTAGGGCCACAGACGAGCGGCGCTATATGTGTGACAAGACTTTGCACCCCAAACGCCGGAAACCTATAGGCTTAGTCAGACCTCTCCAAAAACACATCTCAACGAATCAGATCAAGATGTTCATCTCCAAACACTACATACCTCTTCTGCTTCGCTGCCTGAAGTAAACTTTATTCCTTTCACAGTTGAGATACCCGCTTTGACAGTTTTCGCGATGTCAGCTTTGATTTTATCGCGACCGGCTTCGTAAAAGCAGACATCCGTGACCCTGGTCTCTTCGAAATCGCAGTCACAATTTTCACGCTGAACAAGTTCTTTGATCGCGTCGACCTGACGGGATTCGAATGTAGCCACGTGCTCCGCAACCGCTTTCCCATGCGTCTCCAGTACGCTGGCCGCTCTTGACAAAGGATCTGGTTTTAAATGACCGCCTAGATTCTCAGACTTAGTACGTGCGAAATTTGACTTAGATCTCAAGGGCATATGATATGTACCATTACGTCCGGTAGCGCCAGAACAGGCCTCGCGTGCCTCAAGGATAAGTATTGATGGAATTGGGCGGTCGCGACGCACACACTCTTCGACTATGTGATGCACAATCGATGCTCCAGCATACCCCGCGCCAACGATTACAACATCGACATGCGTGGGCAGATGCTCAGTACTGCGATGGTTGTCGATGGGCCCAACTTGTTTTCTCCAATAGGAGGGGACAGCATCCGCCACCGGGAAGGGTTTGGCGCTGGTACCAGGAAAAGACATGTTGAAGGTGTAGGATGTGAATCACATGCACGTATTGGTGGTAGTTCTACGGGATTGTCCTAAGTGCAAGGTGGGCTATGTAGGTACTCACGCTTAGTCATTCACAAGGCAGGTTCGCTTCTACTGTACCCAGCCCGTGAACTTGCGTACTTTAGTCAGACAGATAGGATGCGTAAGCGCAGAATGTTGTCTTTGGCTCCAAGCGGCTGCGCAAGGCGGTGATCGTTAGGCAATTGCGACCGGGCCGGTCGCCGGTCCGGTCACTGATAAGGACCCAGTTGACTTTGCCGCGCAGCAAGCAAACACCCGTTCAGAGCAGCATAATCCGGTCTAGAGGCTGTGTTTACCAGTAGTAGCATTTGGAGTGTTGGAAAGGCCCTCCGGTCTTGCCTTTCACCAACAATGCTGCATTAGATGCGAGATGATCGAGCAATTCTACTGGTCAATATCCATCAGCAATGACAGCTCGCATGGTAGAGAAGGTGTAATGCGAACAGGCATAGGAAACAGTTCGATTAGCAAAATACAATTTACAGTGACACAACCTATATCATGATAGATGTTCTGAATGACTTGATGATTGCTATCCACGGCTCGACCCTGACGACGCTTTCCCAATTCCAGCCCGCGTCCCACGCACCTGCAATCTTTCTGTTGAGAGCCATCACGCACGACACTTCATTCGGTGGTGACGTTACTCAACGGCCTCCTGGGCATCCTAGTGATCAACATGACCATACTAGGCACAGTAAGAACTAGCAAACCACAGTTCACATAGATCGGGACCACAGGAGCGATGCCACTCGCAGAGCTCAGACCATAGGAAACTGCCTGGCCCGCCGTCTCAAACGCGCGAAACAAGCCTGCCACGCGTGAAGAATCGCCCATATCGTTGGAGAATGTGCCGAGAATCCAGTATAGTGTCAATTGCGTCCAGTAGCCGCTCACGAAGATGATAAGGTATGGCACGTATGCCCTTGCCCATCTGCCAGTTTCTCTATCGTTGAAGTCAGTCTCAGTCGCACTGGGGCCTGTCTCTGTAAAATAACTCACGATCCGTAATCAAGCGCCGTTTTATTGCCGAGGTAGTGGTACTCAAAAGCGACCCAGATGAAACAACCGGTTTGTGGCAGAATCCACAGCGAGAATGCAACCCATGCTTTGGGCCGCTGGGGCCACCGCTGGCTGTCTAGAAGTTTGCCGAATATGACAACCGACGGAATGGTGATGGCGGCTGTACTGGTCAGCATGTAGTCGGCTGTTCCCAAATTCCATACTTACGGAGAAGAAAAGATGATAGAGCGCGTGCGCGGACCGAGAAGTGTAGCGAGAGATAGGTACCCATTGTCCCTCCGTAAAAGAACGAATAGAACGCGGGGAGAAAGATCAACCAGACCTTGTTGCTTTGTAGAGTACTCCACAGAGCAACAAATTCTTGTTTCCAAGTGACCCTCCCCGACATGGGAACTTTGCTGCCATCGCGACGACGCACTCGGGGTGTGGGGGACAGGGACAGCGCCCAAAGAACTCCAGTGCATTCTGCTATTGGTTAGTAAATGTGCATTCAGAGCAGATGCCTAGTATCCGTCACGTACCGAATCCAACAAAGACCAGATATGTCGCCCATGCAATGCCTCCAGCAGAGGCTCTGTCTGAGTTCGTGGAAAAGTTTATCGCACCACCGATCAAGCTTCCGGAGCTTCGCATAGCCGACCAGATGCCTGTCAGAGATTAGTGAAATGATCATACTCCACGTCGCACACAGGTGCTTACCAAGGTATAACCCCCTCTCTTCTGGCCTTGGGTAGCATAGCATGGCTGTCGTTTCGCCGACGTAAAGAAGCCCACCCGCTAGACCGTTGATAACCTGGCCCCATCAGTATGTTTCCCTTGTATGATGAGTGTAGATCGTACATTGGCGGCTATGAGGTACCAGTCGACGCTGAATCTAGCATTTACATAGTACGCAGATCCTTGGAGGGGCATCGTGAGAGCCGCAATGAAGCACGCCCATTTGATCCCGATCCTATTGATGATGGGGCCTCCGAGGATAGTACTGATGAAGCTCATGGCGTAACTCAACGAGGTTGCAAGATTCGCTAGCCATGGCGTTGACAAACCGCCTCCTCCTAGATTGGATATAGCATCACCCATGGCTGGGCCAACCAAGGAAAGCCTTAATCATGTTCAGCATCCGGATGGTAGTCTCTGGGAGGATTACTCACGCTCCGAACATCACCATCTGGAATAGCACGCTCCGGTAGAAAGTCGACCATTTCCAAGATCGCAGAAAGTCGTAGTCGGTAACTTCTTCCTGCGATCCGATCGCGATGTCCTCACCACCGTCATGCTCCGTGTCCTTCACTTTGGCGTCTTTGGTGTCTTTAGTCTGCGAGTAATCCATCACAAAACCTTTACTGAATCCCGTTCATGATACGCTTCTATTTTATGTAGAACTCTTGCATGCTAGAGACTATCGGCCGGCAAGCTGATTAGGAAACGGTGCCCCTTGTTTGCTCCAGATAAGCATAACACCGGCCCGGTCTGTAGCGCGACTGATTAGACATGGTGTTGTACGGGCGACTCGTAGAGTACGGGCTTATCGAGCATGGATGAGCATGGGGTAGTAGCCGTGCCCGGCCATCGCGCTCTTTTCAAGTTGCTCCGGGCCTTTGCATCTTAATCGCTATTAGCATGTGGATGCTAGACACGAGAGCGATCGTTACAACAATGCCTGTGAGCTCTGACAAAGCCAACTGATGTCTTCAGAAACATAGCCGGAAGGCAGCTGCGCGCAATAGAAGCGTTCCAAGGTTGCTGGGAGTGACGAGAAGCGCCGGTCTTGGAGTTGCGGGGTGTGGGGCTACATCCACTCTTTTAAACACGCGCACCAATCAAGCCACTGGTATTACTGTACAACCCTCTCTTCCGATGGGCGGGAAGGGGAGGCATTCAAGTTCCTAACCCACGACCGCGAACATGCGCACATCTAGGCGACAGTTCTCAGGAGTTCAGATGGCCGTTAACAGTCATTCGTGGCTATAGTGGTGGTGTGGTGGTGTGCCAAAATGACAGGATTGCGGTTCCGGAAACAGTAAATTGACCTCGGAACGGCACCGCAGCTTCCGATGGATCGCGAGGTCATACATGCCCTTGCCGTGGCTGCGATGTCTTCTTCTTTCTACTCCCCTTTCATCTACGGCTTTTTCCATGAAGCTGCGTCAGATTCCAGGCTATTTTACAGCTCGATGATTTCCCCATCGACCAACGAACGGATGCGGGAGCCACGTGAAAGCTACAATGACCAAAGAAGCGACGAACCTCGACGCGCTTCCGTATCGGGATGACTGAAGCGAGATGCGATCGCTTTCGCGATAGCTCGGCCGCTTCTGTGATGTGTGCACATCTCCCTACGCATAAGACATGAGACGAGAACATGGTAGCGTGTTTGTTCCTTGCGCGATGCTGAAAAGTGCTAAAATCGTGGCGCTTTCAGCTCGAGGCTGGAAAGCCTCCAGGGTCCATTTGGTGGCCGAGAAGGCGGGGTGCCCGAAAACGTGGAGGGCCACGCAAGGCTAGGGAACAAACAGTTTAGACTCGGTAGATATATGCAAGGGCGCAAGCGAAGGGGTGCACTGGGTGGTGATGCGTAGAAAATGTGAGTCTGGAAGTTACGATGTGGACCTGTCAGATGTGGAGGATGCAAGCCCGTTCCGCCGCCACATGGCATCTGGCCGATGAGGAAATACCCGAGAATCATCGCGTTCAGCTGCCGACACGCAGTGTGCAAACCTCGACTCTTTCCGTCACTCTCTCATCTGGACAAGACCGAAACCTGCACAGCTGGCTACACGTTTACAGCGATGGCTTATCGGACTAGAGTGATTTCACGACAGCTACGCAGGCGCTTCAAGTCCAAGCGGGCTGAGACTAATGATATAGAGCAAGCCATGTGTTGACCATACCATACTGATTGGTATCGTGGCGTGTAGACTGGCAGGAAGGTAGTGTTGGCATAACTTTATACCCAAGCTGGCTTCGTTCATGTAGACGCAACAGCTGAGCCTGAACAGTATAAAGACGCCTGTCATCCACCTATTATCTCAACAACAGCCTACAACAAGCCTCTCCGGTACCATCTACTTCTCACTACACTCCAGCGACTCCTTCCATCATGCCTTCTCTCGTCCAAAAGGGAGACACAATCTACGTTCATCCCGAGTTTCTCAGCGATAGCAAGAGCAACCGAATGACTGTCAGCTGGAGCCAGAACTGGTTCAATCGCACTGAAAAGTACAAGCTCTGCAAGTTTACCGTCAAGTCTGGTGGTAAGTACAATCCCTTTCTTGGTCGATGCCCTTAGGCTAATCAATCATGAATAGGCGACGCCAAGGGTCTCATCTACGTTCAAGCCAACAAGGTCGCCGAGTTCAAATCGAAGAAGACAGGCGGAGAAGACTTCACGGTGACGGTTGATGAGTCGTTCCAGTACGGACAGGACAAGGATCAAACCAAGCGCTTCCTTGTGTTCCACGACACGGACAACCGGCCTTACCAGGTCAGTGAGCTGCAATGACGTTTAAGAGGACAAAGATTACTAACATACCATAGCACCGTTTCGTTGAAAACACACTGACTGAGCTTGGAGACGATGCCAATGAGTACGTCAAGGAGTTTACCGGAGTTAGTTTCGAAGCCGTCGGAATGATGGCTAAGATGTTCGTGGGGGACTATTTGCACAACTTCTAGGTGTTGGATGCTGCATGATTATGAACAATCTGCGAATAGCAGCCTCGTAGCGATTGAATTTGTTTTTAAACATATGCTCGACTAGCTTCACGCTGCAACATGTCTTACTGTGAACATTATGGTTATATTTCTTCGAAACTACTTGTAGTATACACAACTTGTATAATTGAGGGCCGAAGCCTACTCCGCAGCCCGTCACTCTTCGTGTATCGTATGCCCCACTTTGGCCTCATTCATTCTACCCTCTTGCTAGCCAATTTAGGTACCCTACTCCGGGCCACATGCCCAATGGACAAGCCCAGTCGATGCGTCGCGCTACATAACCCAGACTACACAACAGTACCGATTCGCGAGTATCTTGTTGCCGATAGACTCGCATTGATGTACCAACGTCGTTCATTGCGGACACTAATTCGACAAGAAACTTCTTGATCGATTCGGTATAAGGATGGGAAACCCGGTCTTCCAGGTCAATATACAAGTCGAACTTCGAAAGACCAAGGGATCTAGCAGTCGTAAGAAGACAATTTTGCAAGGGAGACGTCGCCCAGGTGACCTGGAGATCATGCAGAAATGCACGCGGCATCTCTGTGATCGTGAGAGACACCAAGCTATCCGGAAAGGACTCTTTGGGCTGCAGAAGATGTGCAGGTGTAGTAAAGATGTTAACACCGCCTGGTCTTATGTAAGCGAAGCCGAGAGTGAGCTTCTCCAAATGCACAAGTTCCCTGAAGCTACCAAATGGCCTGAACTCTCCAGCGTGATACCCAGTCCATTCGAAAGTCTTCAGTGACGGAAACAGGTCAGCTAATGGTCCGTTCAATCGCCGATGATCGTAATCACCTAGAGCTTCAACATAGACATTCACCATCTTCAGGTGCTGTACGCCATGCATCTCCGGTAGTTCTAACATGCGATGAAGCTGATCCGGCTGCAAAGTGATGTGTCGCAGTTCCAAGTTGCGCAAAACCGCGGTCCTTTCAGATCCTCTGTATGACCATTGGAAGTTATGGTTGCGGCCATTTTTGTAGTATTCACAGATGCCGTTGACCTTCAGGGTCTCGACAGGTGCCAATATTGGAATAGACCCTCCCTTTCCAAGTTCTACATCTAGGCTCTTCAACTTTTCCAAGGGCCAGACTCCTAAGGACGGGCTTTTAGTGAGCCTTTGCCAGCGCGCGGGGCAGACGACTTCGATTATTGCAGAGCTTATGTTCATCAGCCGGAGGTGTTCGAGATTGGTTGCGAGACAGAGTATGAGGGCCAGCGACGCATCTATAGTCCAGATCTCTCTGGACACATTGTAGTACCACGTCACGTCAAACAGAGGCTCCTTCAATGGGTATGCGAGTTCCTTGAGAGCCTTCTTTACCTCTAATGACTTCTTGGAGAGGTCTTTGCTGACCTTCTCGATGGTATTGTTCGGATCGTAATAGCTTAGATAGTGAAGGTCTGCTTCCCATTGCTCGTTAGCAATATCGAAGGCGAAGCTCCGGGTGTGCTGTGAGAGCTCTCTGCGGCTGATTAGAGTCAATAGAAGACGTGGTACGGAGAGGACGTTTGGACTGCATACTTGGATGTGCCTGTAAAGATATGGCTCCGCTACCTTGCGATAGTACTTGTTCGTAAGCGTCAGGCTGTGGAGGGCTTGATGCGGGAGGTATTGTATGATCATGTCGTCGATTTCGGTGGAAAGGTCCGACAGCGACATCGTTGGACGGAGACTGCGGTCGAGAGGCGGCTGTTCGAAGATGTCGGAAGAAGCTTTGATCGAGTTGTATCTCCAGAGAGTGCGTTGTCTTTGCCTAGAATTTATGGAAAATATGTGTCTTCGTAAGTGCAAGAGCCCACCGACGAGATTTTATATATTTTCCTAACTCCAGGCACCAGCTTCTGCACATGACTGTAGTGAACTATGGTTGAGATGCGTCGAGACGTAATCGGAACCGAAATCCGAGAACCAGCCGAAGTGTAACTTCACGACCGATCTGCCACAATTCCTATGGCTGGATCGGGCGCGGTACTTGCGCGTTGCTAAGTGACGAGAGTGAGCAAGTGTAGGAAGGCCCGTGCCCCTAATACAGCAGGTGCGTCCTTTCCACTTTCGCTCCTTCCATTAGCAGCGCGCAGGTCCTCTCGCAAATCACCTTTGACCAACTCTTCGAAATTTAGAGTTCGTCCTCATACATCGCCGGCGCGCAAGCGAGACATATCACTCGTTCGCGCGACTCATCGGCAATAAGCCATTCGCGACCTCCGAAGTCTATACTACACCCACACGGCCAGGTGCTCTCGCGTGAGAAGTATCATCAACACAAGAAATCAATCGCTCTGGCCCTACCTTACTCGCCCACTATGGACCGTCTCTCAACCGAGCTAGACGAAAAGATCATCCAGCAACTGGCCGGAAGGGAAGCGTCTGCTCTTTCCATGACATCAAAGTACTATCGATCGCTTGCAGAACAACAGCTCTACCGAGAGCTCACTTTCTCGACCAAGCAATGTATGGACTTGATGTTGTTACTCGAGACGCTTGTTGATCGTCAAGATCTCGCAAAGCACATTCATTCCTTCACTATAACCACAAATGGGACGCCAGAGTTTACCTTGGCTTTTGACGCTATATTCTTCCCCCGCTTCCAGAGTAGAATCAATGAGTACGAGCGAGTTATCTGGGACTTTGTTCCATCATCGTCAAGAAGTCGAGCCGAGCGATGGCTTGAGCAGATGTATCAAGGAGAGCAAGTGATCGACGGACAGCTCGCGGTTATCTGCTGTCTTTCTGAAAACATGAAGCATCTGACACTAGGTGGTGTCTACCCGTCCAGTCTTCCGATCACCCTGTCAGTCCTCGAAACGTCCTGGAGCAAAGTCAGTGCCGGCTTTCAGAGTAGCGGAGGATACAGGGGAACAACCTGGAGGTTTAGCAAAGACTCGACCCAGCCTGCAGAGGGCAAAATACTCTCTCCAGATGGGAGCGAATGGTCTATAGCGGACGGACATTTGGTGCGATGCCGATAGAATGGAGAGACATTTGAGACGGAGATGATGCATTTCGGACACGCTGCTTTTCCTACTATTCAACGCCGAAGTGTGGCATTAGAACAGACATCTTGGTCGTAGCACATACGATAGGACTAAGGCATTGCTGAAGAATGTGAATGGGTCATGTAATGTCAGGAGTTTTGTTGACAAGATGGCTTCGAAAGTACGAAGCCATAGAGAGCGAGCCAAATGATTACGTCACGGCGCGGCGATCTCCACCCGTGGACGCCTCGGCCATAGCGGGGTTAACTTTTGGGAGCCGAGCTGCGAACTGCCTAACACACGCGTCAACGTTAGCCATCATCCGCAACACCATGGAGGAGTACAAGGCCAAGTACGCCATTCACGAGGCCTGTCGGGAAGGTCAAAGTGCGTACGTCACCCTCTTCTAGCAGATCACGCCTAACAAACCCCAGCATCCCGAGTCGACTCCCTCCTCGCCGCGAACCCCAAGCTCGCAAACCTCCGCGACCCAGACGATCGCCTACCATTACACTGGGCCGTATCCTACAATCATCTCGCTATCGTTCAAACACTCGTGCAAAGCAAGTCGTTCGATCCTGATGTCACGGATGGCTCAGGCTGGACGCCACTCATGATGGCATGCTCGCGGAAAGACGCAGAGCCAATAGTAGATTTGCTGCTCTCCAAAGACGCCGAAGTAAACGCGAAGAACAACAACGGCCAGACCGCGTTACATTTTTGCGCATCGAAAGTGAACCTCGATATCGCACGCACATTGCTCGCTCAGAAGCCGCCAGCGTCAGCACGGATAAAAGACAAGAGAGGCCAGCTTCCACTGCACCGCGCAGCAGCGGTGGGCAGCGTGCCGATGATGAAGGCGCTGTTAGATGCAAAGAGCCCTTTGAACGCGACGGACATGGATGGCATGACAGCGCTGCACCACGCGATGAGCGAGGGGCATGGTGATGCAGCGCTACTCCTGCTCACCATGGGCGCGGAACACGACAAAAAGGACACCGATGGTCATGTACCGCTCGATCTCGCGCCAGATGCGAAGACTAGGAGCTTCATACTGCAGGCAGCTGAGCGGGAAGGCATAGAACTGCAGTAGGAAGCTATCTTACGCCATGTAATGTTGCATTTGCGGAGTCTACACGATACCCAGGGTCACGGCGCATTGAGGCTGTCATATCTATGGACACATTCACAATTGATCTGTTATCTGCGAATTGCTCTCATGCTTTATGCCATGCGGATCGCTGCCTGATCGGTGGGGTGGCACGAGCTCGTGATGACTACTACCGACCTCGAAATGCCTTTCTCTCGCAGCCCCTCGCACCCCGCGCGTTCTGCACTTCGGACCTATTGCGCAATCGCACCCATCACCTGCATTAGCCCCCACGCTCCCATCGGCATGCTGTCAGCGGGGCCTGACCTAGCGCCTGTCCGCAGCGATCAGTCTACATTCCATGCTTCGAGTCCCAGCGTCTGCACACGCACGGATGCGAACAGGCAACGGCATCAGCTATCAGCTCAACTGTGAAGCACGCGACAAACTCTTGTCAGACGTCGCAATCGCAACTCCACGTGGTGACGTTACTTTGCTCCTGACGCGTGCTCATCCTGAGGATGATTCGCCATCATGGTGCTAATCGTCACCCATCATGGTCTTCACGGTTTGACTATATAGCTGTCGCGAGGACGATGTACCGAGGCTGAATCCGCGCCGTTTACTCCCTCAAAGACGTATACAGAAAGTACAGTCTGGACTGCAGCTGCCCCAGAAGTATAAGTCGCGACCGCATCGATCAACTCTAGGTTTCCTACCTCCTCTCCTCAGCACACAACATCACACAATCACTCTCTTATTCGACACGTCATACACCCATAGTATAGCAGCATGGCTACCTTCTCCGATCCATCAACGTACCTCAATTTTCTCATATCCCCACGAATCCCTCCAGAGCTGGTCCTTAAGACTATCCAGCACCTGCCTTTCAACGATGGCTCGCTCATTACCACTATTCGGAGCGCACATCCTCGGCTCCGCGCCATCTTCAAGAACTACGAAAGATCCATCACTGGTAGCTTCATGAAGAAAGAGCTCCGGCACGCAGAAACAGACTTCAAGTGTGAAGATGATCGGCTCAACGTCGACTGGCTGGCCGATTGCGTTCACAACTACGATATTGTCGATGACGTTATGGACGCCCTCTGCTCTGAGCACAACTTCAACGCCGTTCTACAACATAACATCCCTCTCGCAAATGCCGGACTACTACTATTATACCGCCTGACATCGATCGGTCAGTCCACCCGCCAACCCATCTCTAGCACAGCCTCAGCTAACCTCCCCCTCAGAAGACCACGCACACCGCCTAAGCTACATCAAATCCCTCCCCCGCGACCCCCTGGTTGCAATCTACCTCGTCCTCCACCACGCCACCCTCTCCGCCCGCTACCACGGCTCAGGCTGGATAAACCAACGCACCTACGGCCGCTTCATGGACGCAAACCAAGTCGAACTACGCAGCGAACTCGAATTCTGCTTCGCAGAAGCTGCGCTGTGTCTCGGTCCAGAGTTCATCTCAAACACACTCCTGCACCACGATACCTCGAATGCAGAGACTACTTTACTGAACTTCTACCATGATCATGGCACGCATGATTGGGACTGGCCTTGTTGGGGGACGGCGAAGGGCGAGTTTGAACCGCCTAGGACGCAGGGGCCGCAGAGGGAGGAGGGGAGTGGGAGGAGTCTGTTTACGACGATGTTGGAGAGGTTGGCGGAGTGTATGGGGTGTGAGTTGGGGGATGTTAGGCCGAGGGTTGAGCGGCAGCTTGAGAATGCGGAGCATGAGTTGGCGTATTTGAGTTTAGCGGGGAAGGCAAGGTTGTTGGAGGGAAAGGATGTGGGGGACGTCGATGGTCGGTAGGACGGGGTGTTCGAGTCGTCGGTTGGATCGGACTGGACTTGAACGGCATGTACAATGGCATTCCTAGCGAACTTCTAGATTTTGGTTACTCCTCATGATGCAATGCAATACGAACAACACAAAGCTATCATCTCCCACTCCATCGTGAAAGACATCCCAACACCCTAAACCAACTCATTATAAACATCCGTCCTCCTCTTCAACGGCGAATCATTCCTCATACTCCTCACATACTCAACATCAATCTCCGCGCACGCAATCTCCCCTTCATCCTTCCATGACCCTCCCTCCCCCTCATCACCCCCCAACTCCGCCACAATCTTCCCCCACGGATCCACAATCATACTATGTCCCCAACTCCTTCTCTTCCCCTCTTCATCATGCACACCCACCTGCGCCGCAGCGATAATATAACTCTGCGTCTCAATCGCACGCGCCCTGATGAGAATCTCCCAATGTCCTGCTTTTCCAGTCGGCGTCGTGAAGGCGGCGGGGTATAACAGGACTTCTGCGCCGCGCGCACGCAGGGCGAGACCGGGTTCGGGGAAGCGCAGGTCGAAGCAGATTTGCATGCCTAGTTTACCGATGGGCGAGTCGAAGGGGTCGCCCAGGTGGACGCCGCGTTCTACACCCGCGGATTCTTGCATTTGCGGACCGTCTTTTACGTCCATGTCGAAGAGGTGGAGTTTTTGGTAGCGGTATTTTATTTCGCCTTCTGCCGTTATCCAGATCAACGTGTTCTTGACCTTTTTTCCATCGTCTGTCGGTTCGTGGATGCCGACGGAGATGGGGAGGTTGTATTCCTGGGCGGATTTGCACAGGCCTTGGACGAATTCGGAGTCGTGGACGGATTTGCAGAGTTTGAGTCCGCCGGAGGTGGTTAGGTAGTCTGCTGCCTGGGGAGGGTTAGTTTGGGTGATGGATTTTGGGTGGGAAGTGGTGGTGGTGTACTTCGGGCAGGAAGAGGGCGGCGGCGCCTGCTTCGTGGGCTTTGCGGCAGAGGGATTGGGCTTGTTTGAGGTTGTCGGCCATGGAGGCCTGGGAGCGCATTTGTCCGACTGCCTGGGGGTTGTTAGTATGGGTGGTTGATGGTCGGGTTCGTATAGAGTGGTCCATCTCGAGTTGTGAACCATCTCTTGAGCGGTGTGAAGATGTGGCGGGATGTTGGGGAACACGAGTTGTTCTAGATAAGAGCCAACATTGAACAAGATTTGGGATGATACATGGAAGGTACCCAAGTCAAGAGAATGAATTACAAAGAGTCAAATCTATACATTAACGGTACAGGTTGGCAACGATGGGATGATGGACATTGAGAAACAGTTTAGATAGCAAGGAAACGAGAGATGACTGGGAACAACTTACTGCGAGAGGCATCTTGAAGGTATTGATTGGTTTGATTGTGTGTGTTGGAATATGTGGAAGGAATCAAGGTACCTCTGAACTATATGAAGGCAGCAAACACAACTAAAGAAAGAATACTGCTGTCGTCAGAGACGGCAGGCGCGATGCCACTAGAGGCTAGTTCAATCGTAGCAGTCATCGTGAGATGCATGTTGCATCTGGAACGCATGCCAAAAAAGCATATGGCATGTAGACGACATCGAAAAGTGAAGATATCCATACGCCGATCGTCATGCGGAAGTCATGGCCGGGACCCAAGTCCCCTGCATAAACTCTTGGTGGTGGGAATTGCGTCAGGGCAGAGAGCGGAGTTGCGGAACATTTGGTCGGCCAATCGGCGTGCGCGTGGCATGCTGCAACCGCGCCCGTCATCTCGAGGGCTTGCGCGGCAGGAACCTTGGGAGCAAGAGGACACGCATGCGATTGGGGCCGCCTTCCGATGATACGAGCTGATCTAGCTGCGACAACATCCACCCTACGACATTCACCCTACGACATCCACCTATGGTCATTGCTGTGACACCCCGCGAACCCTACTGATCGCGTACGACCGCCAACAGACCAGCCTGGCCTCCCGCGCAATTGAGCTATGAACAGACACAAGCGCCGAACGAGTGCACGCTGAACGCTAGCGAAGCGTCGTAGACGACCCATCGCCCCAGGACACGTACAGCTGTAGAGGCACGATGAGCGGGAAGAACTGGTGGAACAGCGCCATCTCGGGCCTCGAGTCGCGCCTCGACGGTATACTGGCCGAAGATGGCACCACCACCAAGCCGGCGGGCGCAGAGGCAGGCGCCAAGTCAGACACGACAGAAAAGGCAGCGACGGACAAGAAGCTTGCCGTCGAACCAGGTGGGTGGCCTTGGAGACACTTGCTGTTACCAGCTTGCAGAGAGCTAACGACACAGGCATCTCGCGCACCTCGTCACGAAGCCGACCCAATTCTCGATTACAGGACCGCCTAGCCAAGGCCGTAAACAAGGGCTCCGAAGCAAGAACCTCGTCGGACCTTGGGTCGAGACCCGCGAGTCCAGCCGTGAATGCTGTCACCGCATCGCCAAGAGCCAGCATAGACTCGAAAGCGCCCGAGCCAGCGACGGAGGCCGTGGCCGTGGTCGTGAGAGAAGAAGCTGCGACAGTGAAGGAAGATGAGGCGCCCAAGCCGGATGAAAGCAAGGTCGAGGAGCCTCCACAACCCGCCGTAGAGGCACCTGCGCCCATAGTCTCCCCTCCAGCGACTTCACCACCGCCTACGCCTCTAGTGGCCGAGCAACCGACTTCGACGCCCGTTCCCACCATGTCCATGCCGTCGATACCCTCCATCGTCACCCCGCAAACCTCGTCTCCCCGCCAGTCCTTCGACAGCGACCCGTCGCGACCTTCAATCGACGTCCTCCCCCCAACGCTGTCTACCGAGACCAAAGACCCCGAAGAAGTGCAGGCTGAGCTATCGCTGTTGCAGAAGACATACGAGGAGACAATGCAAGACAATCGCGAGGAGCTCAACTCTCACCTAGAGCGAATCGATACTCTACAGTCAAAGCTCACATACCTCTCCGAGCAGCTTGCTGCCTCTGCAAAGGCCGCCAAGTCCGACTCGGAAGCGACCCCCGCGGATAAGAAGCTGGCGGACAAAGATGCACAGATAGCTGCGCTCATGGAAGAGGGGCAGAAACTCTCAAAGACGGAAATGAAGCATCTGACCACTATCAAGAAGATGCGCGCGAAGACAATGGAGCAGGACAAGGAGATTACGACACTCAAACAGCGGCTGACAAAGGCGGAGAAGAGCATCACTGAACAGTCGGAAAGGGCACGGCGTGCAGAGGCGGCGGAGAAGTCTGCGCAAGAAAAGCTGAAGATTGTGGGTAGGATTGAGAAGGACATCGAGACCATCAGAGCAGAGCGCGAGGAGGCTGGACTTACCATATCTGAGCTACGGAAGCAACTCAATGACGCGCTTTCACGAGCAGAAGACGCTGAGAAGAGAGCCCAATCTGGAGCGCTGGAAGCAGAGAAGAGGGCCACTGCGTCGCTCAAGGAAGACATCGAGAACGTCCGGATAGAAAAGAAGCTTGCCGAAGATCGCGCGAAGAGGGAGCTTCAGGCGGCCAGGGACGAAGCGAAGAGCCAGCAAGAGAAAGCAAAGGTCGCCGAGCTTGAATTGCGCGGCGAGATTGCTGTAAGTTTTGATGGCCTGTTCGAAAACCAGACGGACACTGACCGAAACATAGAACCTGGAATCTAAGCTCGAACTGCTCCGCAGCCGCACAGAAGAGGCGTCATCATCTGCGACTGGTGATTCACAAGCCAAGCTTCTGCGACAGATTGAGACGCTGCAGACCCAGTACTCGCTGGCTTCCGAGAACTGGCAAGGTATCGAGACCACTTTGACGTCTCGTATGGCGGCTCTTGAAAAAGATCGTGATGAGACAGCAAAGCGCGAGTCTGACGTCCGACGAAAAGCAAGAGAAGTCAACTCGAAAGCACGTCGACTGGAAGACGAGCTGGAGAGCATCAACGAACGGGCCCGCACATTCGAGCACGATCTGACGGAGCAGCGTGCCGCAGCTCAAAAGTTGCAAGCTAGGCTCACACAGGCAGAGACTGCAGCACAGGATGCACGAGCCGACCTTGAGCGGGAGAAGAAGCTGTGGGATGTCGAGCTTCAACAGCGAATAGAGGAAGAGAAGAATAAGTGGAAAGTGGAAATACAAACGCCATCTCTACTAGGTGATTCTCATCATCTACGGACAGACTCACCTTCAATAGCCCAACGCCGGCATTCGCCCGACCCACTAGGCATATACAGCCGACGACCCAACCCGCGCTCCATCTCCAGCGGCATGGACATGCCCATGATGTCCCCCATGGACCGCATGTTCGACGAAGCCTCGCGCCGCCCCTCTTCCTCCCGCCACAACAAATCCAGCAACGCAACCAAAGTGCGCACCCCCGAACTCGGTACCCCCCAACGACAAGACTCCATTCCATCAAGCATGTCAAACCTCAATGGCGGCCTGGAAACACCGTCTATCCACACCATCGACCATGACAACGACCCTTTCGAGAACACATCCTCCCCCCACCACACAATAAACGACATGATCAGCGTCTCCACCGCCGGCGCCGGCCCCTCCGTCCAACTCGTCGAGCGCATGAGCGCCGCAGTCCGGCGTCTAGAATCTGAAAAAGCGACTCACAAAGAGGAACTCGCCCGTCTGACTGCCCAACGCGACGAAGCCCGCGAAGAAGTTGTTAAGCTCATGCGTGAGGTTGATGAGACGAGGAAACAAGGGGAGAAGGTAGGGGATTTGGAAAAGAGGCTGGGCGAGATGGAGAATAGGGAGATGACGGCTTTGGAGATGTTGGGTGAGAAGACGGAGAGAGTCGAGGAGTTGGAGGGCGATGTGAGGGATTTGAAGAAGATTTATAGGGAGTTGGTTGATACTTTGAAGTGAGGGTGGTAGCATGGCCGCGGCGTCGGGAACTGAGATACTAGCTTTCTTCCGTTTGAGTGTCACGAAACCATGGTTCAAAGTGTTATTTGCTGACCAATGACGTCGCGTACCTCCTGGTGGTGTGCACAACCATGGACCGCAAACAGTGACTCATGTTGTAACAGGCCGCCTATATCTGTACGCGCCCCCCAAATCGCGAAGCTTCGTCCCAAATCACAACTGGACCTTGATGACATACCGAGTAGCAATTTCCCCATCCGTGTGACGCGTTACGCCTCTGCGACTACCAACATCATGGACACGACCAAGATAGCACCCGTCGTTTGGATCAACAGCTTTCCAGGCTGCGGAAAGCTCACAATCGCTTCCGTCATGAAGACCCTACATACCGACATGATCCTCCTGGACAACCACAAGCTGATCGACCCCGTGGAAGCGAAGTTCCCACGAAGTCACCCCGATTACCAAAAAGAACGGCATCGATATCGGCAACACATCTTCAGAGAACACGTTAGTAACCCTGCTATGTTGTCGCAGGTTGTGGTTTTCACCGGTAAGCCTCTCCTATCTCCCTCTCGCTATCAACATTTTGCTGATTATTATAATTATTGTTGTCAAAGATTACCAGTCCCACAACCCACTAGGACAAAAGGTCGCGGAAGAATATCGGGAAGCAGCGAGAACAGCTGGACGTCCTTTCAAGCCCGTCTACATTGTTTGCGATGTTGAGGAGAACATTAGGCGGATTGCTGCTGCCGGACGCGTTAATGGTGGTACGAAGAAGCTTACTGATCCTGGGCGTCTGAGGGGTTTCAGGGAAAGATGCGATATCTTTCGGTTTGAGGGCTGTGATGGGTTGAGTTTTGATACGACTGATAGCAGGCCTGAAGAGGTTGCTAGGGAAATACTGAAGTTTGTGGGGGAGAGATGATGGCTGGGATGTTGATTCCTGGGGCAAGATTGTGGGTTTGCGATCCGGACTGGTGGGTGGTGCTACTTCGCTTAGCTGGGATGTGGTAGCGTGGTGTTCAATCTCAGCAACAATAGTCAAAGAGTCACACGGAGTTTCTCTCAGCCTTGTCATAGATCAAGATAAATATCTAAGCAAGTGGGTATCATCAAAAAGGTGTCTAAGTCTGGTATAGCCCTCTACCAGTATCAAAAAGGTCGTGAGTGGTGTTACAGTCTATGCAGCGTTCTCTACAGGCTTTGACTACCCAGCCAAGCCTGGCCCAGATACATTACACCTGGGCATCTCATCAAGCGCTTAACCAAAAGGACAGCTCGGAAGCTTAAAGTTCTGGCCTTTCTTCGGCCTACATCGCCCATATTTCTTGGTTTGTAGCTGCTGTTCATTGCCCTTCGGCACACCAGGCTTGAGGCCCGACGGAGCCGCTCCACCCACTGGCTTTTTCGGTGCCACCAAACCAAGGCCAGCTCTTCGCTTGAGACTACCACGCCCTACGTCGGCCAATGGGTCTGGCTCCCACTCTGCAGTTGTCGCGTCACATGCGAGCTTATCTTGTGTATGCGGGAGACACAATGGATATTTGTCGTAGGTGCCGCAGACGGTCGCGTAGATAGCTCTGCATTTCTGGACACGGGGGAATTTACAGTGTCCACTGGGCGAGCATGAGTCGATGGCGAAGCTCTGTGCAGGCTCTGCTGTGTTCTGCGGACCGCCTGACTCATTGAGGTTCTCGCCGTCTAGTAAAGCATCAGACTGACCGATGTCGAGACTGAGTGGAGCTGGTGCGGCTGGCGCAGGTTTTGGCGCAGTCTTGTTTGAGCTCGAGAAGCCTGTGGAGCTTGCGACGCACTTTGAAGTATCGTCAAACATGGCGGTGACAGCATCAGACCACAAGCGGGTGTAGTTGAAGACATTTGCTAGGGTGTAGAAGATGCGGCAATCGGCGGGTTCGTATTTGAATTGGAGCGGCTCTGTATCGTTGGGTCGGATCTGGTCCCTGAGGTTGATACCAAAAGCTGCTGTGAAGACACCGGAATCCCGATAGTCATTAGTGGTGAGCTGGGGGACTGTCGCCAATGTTGCGTTGTCGACGTTGAACGCGGGAGATGAGATGACACCAAGGTCATAGTCGATTCGATCGGCGGAGTAAATTGCGGCACCGCGATTTCCTGGAGCAATGTGTGTTAGTGGTGATACACTGAAATATTTGAACACTCATGAACATACCTCCTACAGCTTGCATGGGGCCGGGAGATGGAAGTCCGCCTACTGCAATGGTTCGAACGCCGACCTGTTTGAACATCTCGACCAGAAGAGCGCATGTGGATGAACAAGCTCCATCTGTCAACTAAAACTTGTCAGGCTTGGTAGTTGACCACGAGCCACAACACTTACTATGGCAATATCCTCAGCCGCGAATGGTGGAGTCGTGTAGTCCAGGGGATACTCAGGAGCATAGCCCGATGGCACCCAGCCTTCGAACAAAGCCGAAGTGAACGCGGAGTTCGAAAGATTGTATCGCTCCTAGTCTCTGTTAGATCTACCTATTGCATGAAATCTGGTCGGCAACATACTGTGAGCGAGAAGGAATCGCCCTTTTCCAGCACAGGTCCTGTGTATTCAGCCCAGCTAGTGAAGTTTTGACCCGTTATAGCGTTGAGTTTGGACGTAGCCGTCCATTCAGCAGCGAGGAAGTCGTTATAGTCAGAATCGCTAGGATTAAGACTATTGAAGTACGATGTGTATGCTTCGCCGATAATGCTTCCGAGGTGATGATTTCGGCGCCTGCTTCCTGCGTATGGATCCACGTTCGGGAAAAATCTCTTGAAGGTACTGAAGGCAAGCTCCACGGTACCCCCGGTGTTTTGCTGGAGGTCTATCACAACTCTCTTCAGGCCTTGTTCAGTTGTGTTGCTGATGAAGTCTGATATGGCATTGCTAAAGTCCCCGATGGAGTCAGAGTATTGTGCAAACGAAGGAATGCTGAGTGTCGCAGCGTTGACATCTAGTAGGAAGTAGCCGGAGACAATGCCATCGCTGCGAACTACGAGACCCTCTTGTCGAACATCAGGATTGGGATATGCTCCGCTAGATTTGATATTCCAAGACTGTTGATCAGGTGTAGGCGCGTCAACAGGTCCTGTCGTGTTGAGATCTTCGGGGATAGCATACGCTGGGTTGTAGAAGTTTCCACTCGGGTCATACGAGGCGGGCAAGAAGTTGAGAACAAAGTAGTTGTAGAGATCTCCACCAGTGGTTAGTGGGCCTGTCTCGTACGGCTCCTTCCAGAGCGCGAGCCAGTAATCAAGGTACTCAGTACCGTCCTCCATGACCAGCGCAATCTCGTCTCCTGGATAGAAGCGTACGCCACTGTCCCAGATACCACCGAACCCCTGGATGGCCGATGCAGGTGTGTAGAACAATTGGTTCCAGTCGGCATTTGGTTCTATACCACCAACGGCATTGATGCTTGCCAATCTTGTGACGTACTCCACAGCATCCATCTCGTTGATTGTAGCGATTGCGGTAGGCGTCCCACCTTCATCTCGGCTTTTTACGAGATCGTTCGTGAGGTAAAGCTTCGGTAGACTTGCACCGTCCGACGAGGCAGCGGTTATGGAATACGGTGCGAGGAAGGAGAAAGCCGCCATGATACCGCCTCTCAGATACATGTGGCCATCATGAGCTCTATCCAGCAAGTGCTGTACGTCAACCTCGAATTGATATTGGTTCTTGTAGACTTGCGCCGTGATATTGTTCTGAATTCGTGTCAATTCTGACAGGATATCCACAGCGGGTTGCTGATATCCAGCTGGAGGTTCCCGGAGATATGCAAGAGTGCTTTGAAACTGCACGGTGTCGTTGATGTACGTGATGAAGCGAGTGGCAACATCAGTGTTGAAAGGTACGCTGGTCAGGCAAGCGTATGCATCGTATGCGTAGTGATAAGCGTATCCAGCATTGACGTTGTCGATGATATAGCCGCAAGCACTCGAGTCTGGGTTTTCGGCATCCTCCTGGCGAATACGAATCTTATTGTAAGGACTGTCGGGCGTCGATATCGATAGCGCATCTGAGAGATATACACTACTCAACACCGCTATCGAGAGCGCTGATGTTCGGAACAGCATTTCGAAGGTGGCGATCGCAAGTTGTTTGGAACGGAATTGTCAAGTTCGTTGCGGGAAAGGGGTCATAGTCAAGAAGAATAGAACTCCAAGAGAAATACGAGTGTAACAAAGCAGCCGAATCTGAGGATTAGCCTCTACCAGTTTCCACCAAAAGCATGATAATGAAATATATAGACTTGGAAAGAGACCGCTGTTTTCGGGAAAAGGGTCATAGGAAGGCTGGATACCCGCCCGAGTAGGTCTGTTGCTCAGCAGTCTTATCGCGGCACATTGAAGAAGCCATATCAGGGAGCAACTATATTTGGCCCGGCGGTAAGGAGCGGGAGGGCAGCTGAGCGTACTGCCAGGGGAGCCGCTTCATGATGGCGCGTACCAATCATTGCCCAGATCGGCATGCAGCATCCACGAGGTCAATGCAAATTACGGTAATACAAGCCCATCGGTGTATGCAAATTCGCTCCAAGATCTTTACATGACCGGTCAATCTTCGCCGTCAGCTTGATGCTTGCTTTTAAAGGTGAAGTTGGCCCCCACGATCGGCCCCCGAATTTGGCCCCCAAGTTTGTTCTAACAGGGGTTCTGCAGCGCTGACCCTCCCGCTTATACGCCACCTATGGGAACTCAATATCGTACAGTCAGCCTGATTGAGGCTGTGACTCACTTGGCCTACCACAACCCGAACACATTCATTGCAAGAGGGGCAGGTGCATTTACACATTAGATCTTAGGTCCTCGAGACGCAGCCTTGTCAAGGTCGATACAGCTCGGGCTTTGAAACCGCATTCGTCGAAACAGTATGTTCGCTATCGGTCAGATCACAGTTAGAGATGATGGCGACGTCTTTGCACGAGACATGGTCGTTCACGCAGCGATTCAAGAGTCTTTCCCTATCGCTTCCGACATCTACGAACGATTGTTTGATAGTATACTTGGCAGCGAGCTCTTTGAAGAGTGGCTACAATGTAAAGACCATTGGCAGCTCCATGTTGTTGGCGGGCCGGGAGCAGGAAAGGTCAGTCGCTATCTAGAACGCTAACGAGAATGCTCATGGGATATTCAGACGGCGTTCGCATCACTAGTAGCCAAACGCTTGAGAGAATGCATGTTGGCGTCAGAAGAGCAGACCTTGCAGCTTGCCAGCATCTTCATCAACCATCGCAAAATCGAAAATGAACTCGCCTTCCTAGAGGATCTCTTGGATACCATATACAACCATGTGTCGCCCCCTAGCTGCAATATCGATCCTGCAACAACTTTGGCGTACGGCGCATATAAGGAGTTGCTGCGCACAGGGAAGAGGGCTTCGAAACGGATTACTTCCGTTGCACAAGCACTCCGCTTGAGGACCGCGGAGTTGGCCAAGAAGGGAGACGTAGTGCTCATCATCGACCATCTAGATCAGTGCAGTCCAGCGCTACGGGAACTGGTACAGCAGCAGTTCGATATCCTGCAAGATGAGGGTCTGAAGATACTTGTCACGTCACGATTACCCAGGCATGAAGCAGCAATGAACATATGGTGCGATTATCACCCGCGAGACTCACCCCTCGCGGTGTTTTGGCGCTGTTCCAAATGCCAGGAACGGGATATCTGCGTCAATTGCAAGAGCGAAGACACTTCTTGTCAGCAGTGGTAAGTACAGTCCGGCCTGGGTGATAACCAGATGCAATGCAGCCACTACAACAACAAGATCTAACTCCATAATCAGCGATTCGGTGGGCACTTGGAAGTCCCCAGAGTATTACAATGTGACGCTCGATGGCATGTCAGACGATGCCATGGCAGAGTACCTAGAATGGGATCTCGAGCG